GCCCCTGCTGTGGTTGGTGGTGGGGGTCGGGTGGGGTGGCGGTGCTCCCACCCCACTTGTCCAGCCCCGAGTCCCCACCCCCCAGCGGGGCCTGTTGAGGGAAGACACCAGCACACCTGCTGCCCGGAGCCCTCTGTGGCCACTTGGGTTCTGAGGTTGGGGATCCTGCTCCGTTGTGCCTGGACACTAGGAATCCGCATGGGATGGGGATGTCTGTGCCCAGCCCACCTGACTGGGTCCCCGTGCTACCCCCCAGTACTTCATCCTGCTCCTTATCATCTTTCTGCTGGAGATCATTGCTGGCGTCCTGGCCTACATCTATTACCAGCAGGTGAGGGGCCGGGAGGGACAGGAACCCAGAGGGACACACACACACAGGGACACACACACACAGATGTGCCGTGTAAGACAGGGACGCACAGACATGCAAAGACACAACCCCGCCATGCTCTGGAGCTGAGCACTGGGCCATAAGGCCCTGGCGACGGGGGCTGGATCACAGTGGGGAGGATGGGACAGCACGGATGGACAACCTACCTGTCGCACCCAGACTGCCCGGCTGGGGTCTCGCGTGGGGAGGAAAGCGTCCATGGGATCCGGAGCTCCCTCCCTGTCCCCAACTCTGTCCATGGCCACCTGGTGACTCTCCCAGTCCAGTTCCCTCCACCCCGCAGCCAGCAGCCGGCCCTAACCCTGCTTGGAGGCTTTCCCAGACCTTTTCCCCATCTGCACCTGCCTCCACCTGTCCCAACTTGGGGGGTCTGGAACTGTGCAGCTGAACACCGAGCTCAAGGAGAATTTGAAGGACACCATGACCAAGCAGTACCGCCAGCCAGGCCATGAGGGTGTGACCAGTGCTGTGGACAGGCTGCAACAGGAGGTGGGTGGGGGTGTGGTGGGGAGTGTGCACGGCTCTGCTGGCCTCCCTGCACCTCCGGGGGTGCCTTGGGGGCTCAGCTGCACTGTGTTCCTGCTGTAGTTCCACTGCTGTGGCAGCAACAACTCCCAGGACTGGCGGGACAGCGAGTGGGTCCGCTCGGGCCAGGCGGGCGGCCGCGTGGTTCCCGACAGCTGCTGCAAGACCGTGGTGCCTGGCTGTGGGCAGCGGGACCATGCCTCCAACATCTATAAGGTGGAGGTAGGCCGGCAGGTGCCTGGACTCCCTGGTGGGGGCCGAGGAGCCAGGGGCCCAGGGCATGGGGATGGGACCGGACTTGCCCGCCTTCAGTGCCCCTACCCCTACCCCACCAGGGTGGCTGCATCACCCAGCTGGAGACCTTCATCCAGGAGCACCTGAGGGTCATCGGGGCAGTGGGCGTTGGCATTGCCTGCGTGCAGGTTCGGGGGCGGGGGGGACAGGCCCCGGTGGGTGCGTGGCGGGGCGTCCCACGAGGCTGGCGCTGTGCCGCGCTCACGCGGGCTCTGTGGTAGGTCTTCGGCATGGCCTTCACGTGCTGCCTGTACAAGAGCCTGAAGCTGGAGCACTACTGAGCACACACGGTCCCGGTGGCCACAGCTCCACCCAACTACTGAGCTGCCACTACTGAGGGCTGGGGAGCCGGGCTCCCAGGGTGCTGGTCCTTCCCCACTCCGCCCAGAAGCGTTCTCCAGCCTGTGCACCCACCCCATGCCAATGACCTCTGGGGACCCCTACCCTCCGAGGGACCTGCAAGTGCCTTTCTCCGCAGACCAAAGGCCTGAGACGCACCCCTGCCACAGTGGGGAAGGAGTACTTCTGCCTGCTCGGGAAGTCTCGGGGTGCTCCCTGCACTCAGCCAGAGGGGCTGGCCCACTCTAGGGTGCTCTCAGACTCCCGGATACACCCTTGTGCAGTGGTCGGGGCAAACCTGAGGGGGGCACTGCTGGGTGGGGGCGGCGCCAGGGAACACAGGACAGCTCCTGGTGGGCAGTGCCAGGTGCCCACCACTGGGCCACAGACCCCCGCCCACTCCCGGGAAAGCTCAGCCAGCCCGTCCTGTGGGTCCTGTGCCTCTGCCCTCCCCAGCCTGGCTTCTGCTGCCCCCAGGCCCCTGCTGGGACTTCCCCACACTCTCCTCACTCAAAGGCCACACGTTCACTGTATACTGCCCTGCCCCCTTCCCAGAAGCAAAGCTTTGTGGGTTTTATTCACTGCTGTATCACAAATGCCTAGAACCGCTCGTGCCACGTGATAGGCGCTCAATAAACGTTTGTGGAATGGACACGTGAGCTTACTGTTCGTGACAGACCGGGTCCTGGTCCTCAGGGCCGTCCCCCCAGCCGGGTGGACAGAATCACCCACCCAGTACCAGGACAAGGGGCCGGGAGGGCATATCCCAGGGATCCGGGGCAGCCACATGTGAGCCAAGGATCGAGGGGACTCCAGAGAGAGGAGAGCTAGTAGCAGGGACGGCTGGCCACAGGCTGAGAAGCAGAAAAACCTTGTCCATTCTGGGACAGGAGAGGGGCAGGGCTGGAGCCTCCCAGAGGCAATGGAGGCCTCAGACGGCCTGGGCCTGCTTGTCTCCAAATGCCCTCTGGCCTGTGTAGCTGTCAGGGGCTGGGGGATGCCTCTGGAGCTGACATGAGAGGCCGGAGCTCTGCAGGACCCGGACCCTGGGCAGACCCTGCCTGCCCTTACCCTCGCAGCAGGTTTGTCCATGGGCCGTCAGAGGACCCTGTGTCCCATGTCCGGGCAGCAGTGTTTGCTCCGAAGAAGGTGCCCAAGAAACTCGCCTCCCTCTCCCCCAACCACACACTCCCACCTACTGCCCGATGGACACCAGAGCCTGCTGATCAGGGGTGACAGCTGCTGGCCTGAGCCTGAGCTAGAACAGGACAGAAGCCCCCAGCAGAGAGCTCTTCGGGCAAGTCCAGTCCAAGGGAGTCCATGCTAATGGCCAGGGCACTGGGAGTTTAGCGAACCCTGTCACCCCAGAGTCTCCCCAGGGCTGGCTGTGGAGGCTGGGCACTGCCCCTCCCACTCCACAGGGACTAGGCCAAGGGAAGGAGACTGCTGAGCTTGGCTGGAGCCAAGAAGCTTCTGGCAGCAAGACCCTCAGGACCGGCCGCTGAGGCCACAGCAGGTGCTCTAGTCAAGCCCCAAAAAAGCACATAAGGATCTCTGGCTCGGCCTACAGGGGACCCAGGACCTGGGGGTGGGCACGCCCATGCCCCGTGCGACCCCAGCGCTCTCGGTTGGCTGTGCCTGCGGGAGCCCACGCTCCAGGAGACACCCCTCTCCCTGCTGAATGGCGGCCAGCTGGCTGGCTCCCCCTCCCCTGGGCAGTGGCAGCCACGGCCACCCCAAGCAGCAGGACGCACGAGGCAGGACGCAGAAATGCCAGCGGCGCGGAGCCACACAGAGCCACACCGACATCAGGACCTCGTCTCGGTTCTGCGAAGACCTTTACTGGACAGCTGCCCGCGGAGCAGAGACACAGGCCCAAGGGCGGAGGGCAGGGCCGGCAGGCGGGGTAAGCCTCCCGCGGGGAGCAGGGCGGGGGCGCCAGACCCTCACTTCTCCAGGGGCGCGTAGTTGAGCAGCTTCTCGATCAGGTCGACGTGCGCCAGCAGCATGCGGCGGCAGCAGTAACGCTTCAGGCCAAGCGCGTCCAGGGCATCCCTGCAGCGAGAGGAGCAGACCTGCTCGTCCAGGCCGACCCGGGGGCACGGAGCGCCCTGCCCGCGGCGTCCGCGCCACGCGTTAGGGACGGACACGTCTCTCCAGGAAGCCACCTTCCTCCCGTCTCTCAAGCCAGATAGAGTGGTCAGCGCCCCTGGGACCCGGCCCCAGCCGCCCTAAAGGCCTCCGGGCAACGCCCGCGGCACCGCTCCGCTGCGCAGCGACGGCAAGGTGGGCAGGGGACGCCGGCTCGGGCAGCTCCCACCCGAGGAATCCAGGGGGAGCGGGTCTCGCAGTCCCCTCGCCCCCGCGCCCCGCCGCAGCCTACATGCGCACCGCGGCCCCGACCTCGTCCTCCGCCCCTGTGCCCACGCCCCACAGACCCCGGACCCCGCCGCCGCCCTGGAGTCCTGCAATCCCGCACCCGCGAACGAGCCGTCGCCCCGCGCCCCCGCAGGCGAGGACCCCGGGGCCCCGGCTCCCCACCCCCGCGCGGCACGGCGCCTCACCCCTCGGTGTACTCGGCCTGCAGCAGCCCCAGGTAAGCCTCCCACTTGTTGCCGACGATCTTGCCGCAGGTGAAGCAGCGCACCGGGATGATCATGGCGGCGGCGGCAAGGCGGCGGCGGCAACGCAGCGCCCGCACGGCCGGATCTGGCGGCGCTTCCGCCGCGGAGCCGGCCCCGCCTCGGGCGCGTCCATGGCGCGGGGGAAGAGGGCGTCCCGTTCCCCCGCCCCCGGCCGCCCCCAGCCCGCCCCGCCGGCCCCGGGGCCGCCGCCGTTGGCTTCCCGCCGGGCAGAGTTCCCTCCGCGCGGACCGGGGACTCCGGGGCCCGCGCGGCCGCGGCAGGAGCAGGCGGCGCTCCCCCCGTCCGCAGCTTTGGTACGTCCCGGACTACGGCGTCCTAGCGGGGCCTGAAGGGCCCGACGGTGGCGGTTCGCCTTCCTCGTGTCCGCATGACTGACAGCCGCGCGGCAGGCGGACCGCGCGCAGGTACCGCGCCGGTCGTGGGGACGCGGCCAGGGTCCCGTCCGCCGCAGCCCCGGAGCCGGGCCGGGGCAGAGCCGAGGCGAGCCGGCGCAGAGTTCGAGCCCCGAGCGCGGAGCCCCGAGCCGAGCCGCGGCAACAAGTGGCCGGGCCGAGACCGGGGCCGGGGCCGGGGGCGCGGCGACCCTCAGCGGGGGTTACTAGGGGCTGGCCGGCGGCCGGCGGGGGCGGGCGGCCACGGACGGGCCTTCCCGCTGTCCCTGCTGGCGCGTCCCTCCAGCCCCTCCTGGAGCCCCTGTCGCGCGCGCCCGGGGGCCCGGGGGGTGTCTCTGGGGCCGAGTTCGGCGGTCCGGTTCTCAGCCGTGGCCCGGCCCGCTCGCCCGCACGGTGTCCGTCCCGGCCGGGCAGTCACCTGCAACCCCGCCGTCGTCCTCCCCGCGCCCCAGCGATCCGCTTCGGCTCGCGTCCTTCCTCCCTTCCTCCTGAGGAAAGGGTCTGGGAGGGGGAGCGGGCCGGGCTGCGCCGGGTAGTCGGTGATCTGGGGGCCTCGGGCCTCTGAGGACTCAGAAAGCAGCGGACGCTGGAGAGGGTGGTCAGGGAGGGCGTCATGGAAGTGGTGCCTTGTGAGTTGAACCCTCAAGAGCAGGATTTCACCAGGGGTGAGCCCGAGTGTGTTTAAGGGAGGGGACTGATCCTGGCAAAGGGAACCCTTGGATATAGGCCTGGAGGCCAAACCTGCGGGCCGCTCTAGGCCACAAGTTTGTGCCAGGGCCGGAGGAGGTGGTGGAGTTAGAGGTGATGCGTCAGGAGCCACAGAGGATTTAAAGGAAGGTCTGGCTGTGTCTCTGCAAATGGGGCAAGGTGAGCTCCTTGGCCCCCGGGGCTGGAGGCCGGGGGAGATCAGTGCCCAGCCAGAGGCAAGAAAGGCTTCCTGGAGGAGGTGAATTTCCTGGCCGTGGGGACGGCTGTGCGCAGAGTGGCACCCGTGACTCAGGGGGTGTGTTGGTGGGAGGGGCTTGGCCCGGTTCCCAGGCCCGAGGTATCTGGACCTCTGCTGGTGGTGAGTGGGGCCTGTGCTTATCCCAGGCATCAGCTTGTGGCCCTCTCAGGGTATAGGATGCATTTTGGCCTTAGCTGAGGGGGAGGGAGCCAGAGGGTCCCCTGGGGCCTGGGTGGGGCTGGCCTGGAGTTTGTGCCCCCACCTTTGCCTGGGTCCTGGACAGCCTGCCCAGTGCATTTGTCATCCCCCCGCTGCCACGTGCAGAGCCACGAGTGAGGCTACTTCCCTTCCTAGCTGACCCCCCACCCCACCCACTGGACGCACATCCTGTCCCTGGACAGAGGGACAGGACAGGGGGCCTCGAGTCCCAGTGGCCTGGGGTCAGACCCACGCTCAGCGGCAGAGGCTGCTGGCAACTGTGGAGGTGAGGGACAGGGTGGAGAGGATCCAGGCTGTCGGCGGGTGGGCCTTGGGGAGCTGGTGGGGGTGGAAGGCTTCCTGGAGGAGGGGCCCAGGGCCTGCCCCACCCATGCTCCTGCCCCAAGCGGTTGTTTACTCCAAAAGAGTGAGGGGAATGAGCCTCCCTCCCTGATTCTGGCCGGAGCCGAGTTGACATTCCTGGAATTCTGAGAGGGGTGTGTGGATTTGGGGGTGGCGGCGGCCTCCTCTTCCTGGGCTCCTCCCTCTAGCTCCCTGATTTCCCAGGAGACGCCATGGGGAGCCTCCGGGCTGCCCCACTTCAGCCTGTGTGCCTGCCCCCAGCACAGGTGTGCAGGAAGGCCCCTTGGGGGGCTTGGTCCTCTTCCCTGTCTCTACTGTCTTTGCTCTGCCCCAACTGGGGGACACTTGGAAGCCTCAGCGGTCAGCCCTGCCCCCTGCCTCTGCCCTGGGTGGCTGAGTCCCTCCGTT